AGAGAGAGAGAGAGAGAGAGAGAGAGAGAGAGAGAGAGAGAGAGACAGGGAATGCTGAAGCTTTTTGGCTGGGTACAGGCATCCTCTGCAAAGTGCAATAGACGTGCAGGTCCACTAACTAATGGCCATTTCTTCCAGCAAATAAATAAATAAAATGAAAAAAAAAAGAAAGAAAAAAAGAAAAGAAACGGTGTGGAGAGCAGGGCACCAGAGAGGCTGGGCCAGAGGCGGCGAGCTGTGTGAATGAGCTGGGACGAGAGCAAGGCGAGTCAGTGTCCGGCCTTGGTGCTCTTCCCTACTAACTACATACAGATAGCTCTGAGGATGTTTTGCTCTTAGGGTTCTCAGCAAAACACTGAGATCTTGCACTTTCAGCCCTGTCATGTGCTGTCCTATTTACAGTGTATAAATAAAGAGAAAGACCGTGTGGGGCTGTCACTGCCTGTCAATGAGGTCGGGTCCCACCTTGTCCCAGCTTTTTCTTAGTATGTGTCTCTAAGTTTTCACCTCCCATTGCCTCCTCTCAGAATCCTGCCCCCTTTTCAGGTTGCAGCAAATCCCCAGCCTTTTAAATTGTGCAACAGGGGCTTGCTAAGTTGCCCTGGTAAGATCCAAACATGTGATCCTTCTAACTGCTGGGGTGACAGGTATGCACTACCATGCCCATATTATTGGGTGTTAAGCCACTGAGTTTGTAGTAAATTGTTCTGGTAGTATAGTAAGCCCTCATAAAGGAAGCCAGCAGACTTCTCAAGCAATGGGACTTAGTGTATGTGCTGCCGAAGCGAGCACAAGCAATGGGACTTAGAGAATAAACCTCTTTCGTAATTGCAAATACATGCTGATGAGTTTTAAGAATCCTTTGCTCAAGAAAAAGTCAACATCGACATTGCCTTTGTAACCCACAGTATATGGCTATACACAAAGGAAGGCTAGAGCCTTTTTTTTTTCCAAAGTCCTTCCAGACTCAGGAAATCTATTTTAACTAATACACTGGGATGGAGAATGGATTTCAATGAGATCAAGACTGGAAAAGGATGATTTCACCATAAAACCCAAACTAAAGGATAACAAAAGCCAAGGATTGATTGAGATTTCACTTTTCTAAGCTATTATCAACAAATCCAAATGGTGCAAACTGCACAACAGAAAAACCAATTATCAGGGCACTGCATTAATCTAGGTGACAAATGACAGGGCAGGGTTAACCGGTGTGGAACGGGGTCTGACTGGACAGAAAGAGACACTAACGTTGATTCTTGATAGTTCTAGAGGAGCTGAGTGGAAGAACACAGTATTCAAGAGGAGAAAAGTTCAGTTAGGGACATGTTGAGATTAAAATCTTATAGAAAATCCAGATGGTTTATAGAAGACAACTGGATATTAAAGCTTGAATCAAAATCCTCAGTGGATTCTCAAATTAAGAGACCACAATTTGGCAGCTGTTAACATGTAACTGATAATGGATAATCTGATGTGAGAAGAGATTACCCAAAAGATGCTTATGGGTTTTGACTTGTTTTGCTTTAAACTACAATGAAAGGGCTAAATAACTTAGTGTTAGAGTGCTTGCCTAGCATACACAAGATTCTGGGTTTCATCTCCAGCACTGCAGCAAAAAAAAAAAAAAAAAAAAAAAAAAAAAAAAAAAAAAACTAATGTAGAAAGATACATACATATATAGATAGAGATAGAGAGAGAGAGAGAGAAAGAGAGAGAGAGTAACAGGAAATTGAAGTAACCAGAAAACTGGAGAAAAGCAGCAGAAAAGAAAGGCTGACATAGAAGGATGTTGGCTAAGGTAGAGCTAATGGATAACTAAAAATATTCTGGCACATGATCTCTCTTGGAAAAAAAAGATGGTAGGGGGACATGAAGCTAGATATGCTCCCTTTAGCCACCAAAATGTGCTGCCAGCCTGGGACGGCTAGATGGCTACCGGCAAGTGACATCCAGGGTGGAACTGGCCATACAGTGGGAAGCACAGGACAAAGTGACTGTTTTCATCCACCCACCTGCACACAGGGAACTTCACAAGACGGGTGCGTATAATTTGGGGAACATTAATACTGTTCCTCTTGAGTGTGCATCATCATTCAGCGAAGCGTTAGCAATTTATAAAACCAATTACAGGGAAACTGCAGATGCCTCCCACCCTCTACTTCTTGCAAACATTGCTGCTGCACTGAAATGAAAAAATGAAGCATATGGCATAGACACCTGTGCACTCAGCAGCTTCTTTTCTTTTCTTTTTTTTTTTTTGGTGCGGTACCAGGGATTGAACTCAGGCCCCTGCGCTTGCCAGGCAAGCACTTACTCTACTGAGCCATCTCCCCAGACCCTACACTGCTTCATGGAAAGCTCCTGGCGCCTCTGCTTCCACCTGTTGCTGAATCCCAGTCAGGGAAAGGGTCTGAAGGTTGGCACGGCAGCAAGGAGCCGAAGCGGCTGCCACACGGGAGCCAGGAGGGCTCCCTGCTGACCTGCCGCTATGGCAAGAGCAGCCAGCGGGGGAGGAATCTAAAGCTAGGACTGAGTATTTCTCCTCTCCATGGTGTTTCGGGGCTCAAATCGAGTTAAAATCTGACTCATTCCAAAGCACCAAGTGATTATTTCAGGCCACAGACTAAATGGTACACTGTCATTCTCTTTTTGATGCCTTTGGTTTTGACAAAGAATCAAAATAGCTGTGAAGTTCCTGTTCAACTCTCTAATAGATCTAGTCCAAAACCACATGTATGAAGTGCCTCTGATATCTTTTACTGGCGTGTTTTAGAATTCTCTTTTTAAGACATCAGCCTAATTTTGTCGAAATCAACCACATTTTTACGAGGATTAAAAAGTACTTAAGTATACTTTTATTCTACTGAATTCAATGCCAAATATATACACAAAATTACTTGGATCATTCGGTAAGTTATAGAATTCCACATTTTAATATTAATAACAAGGACATAAACAATCATTTCCTGAGGTAAAAGTGCAATGTAAAATTTAATCTGTATTGCTAATAATTTATAGCATAGAAATGGGATCAAAGTGATCATTTGCTTTATCATGTCATAAAACATAGCTGTTTATTTTAAAACAGTGATACAATTTCAATAATAAGGAAATTTATAATTCATAACAAAGAATCCTAGTGTGTCTGTCACTATGACTGCCTTTCCAGGTCAAATATTAATAGTAAAATAAGTCATGGTATAAAATAAAGCCAACAAGTTACCTGTACTGAAGGAACATTTGACTTCATTTAAGAAACTTAAGATTAGATTCTAGTTAACTTTGTAATACATACAAAATTTTTATCTTAAAAATTTCTAAGCAATCACAAATTTCGATGAACTAGCAGAATAAAGAAAAACGACAGTTCTTCATTACGCTGTAAAACTGTAGATCTCGTCTTTGGAAAAGTAAAGATCATACAGCAATCTGAAAAACAAAAACAAGAAAACCACATGTTTTGTAGGTGGAAAGGTTTGAAAGCAACACCAAGACTTACCGTCTACCATTGCACTTTTCTATTTTCTTCATTTCATATCTATTTAAAAAAAAAAAACCCACACTGATGACTTCTAAAAAACTTGATAATTCCAAAAATCATCAAATATCTTGTCAGTGTTCAAATTTATAGCTTATTTATTGTAATAGGCTGATCTAAGCATATTTCTATCTATAAGGTATTTCTCATTCCCAACCATTTCTGTAATTTAGGCAACTGGAAAGAGATCAGATGTTCATCTGTAGAGCCTCCTACAGTCCTCATTTTGCAGCATCCCTGTGGGATTCCTTAATAACACTCTCCTGCATTCACTTATTTCCATAATTTGATAACTAAATCTAGAAGTTTGATCAGATATAGATTTAATTCTTTTCAACAGGGCCATTTCATAAGCTGTTTTTCTAGCCAGCGGCACATAATATATGATTATGTCTGTTGCTGGATGCTAGCAGCCACTGATGATGTGAGTGTAGATCCATTAGTTCATTAAGGACTAAAATTGCTGACACTCTGCTATCATTCTTTAATCAGCTAAGGAACTCTATGAAGACAAATGTACACTCATTTATCATGTGGCTATCTAGAATATGGCTCATATAGAAAAGGCAGTCTAAATGTTTTATTGTCTTTTCCTCCTTTATATATCAGTTTCAGACTGAGAAAATAATTCCTCTACCATTCTATCTTCATTCTCTCATTAAACAGGAAAAGCAGACAGTACAGCTAAGGTAGAATTCAACTTGAAAAATGGTATAAAGTGAGGCTGAAACCTCAAAAGTGGCTCTGTTTAAAATGCTGCTGAAATAATGAACATTTATTTAGTACTTGGGTGCTAAGCATTTGTCACTGTGCTAAGAACTGCATGGGCTTAAGTATGATTGCTTACTTCTGTCTATGGGTAAGTTAAAAAGCAGCTGCCCCTCGGAAGCCAAGCCGGTGACACAGCATGATTATGTGTGGCAGGGCTGGGACTGAAGCCCGACGACAGCTGTGAGAGGACACACATACTCACCCAATCGGCCAGTGGATCAAAGGACCGTCGCTGTGTTTTTGTTAAAAATAAGTGACTCTTGTCTATACTTTTTTAAAAATAGCTTCTGAGTTTTCCTGTTATTATATCATACAAATTGACAGATGTTCAACAAACATGGAAACTATTTTCAGAGTGGTCATACATCTGTTGCTCTGCACTGAGCACTGGATCTAGGCCCATCCATAATCAATTCCCTTATATACAATGGCAGGATAGCTACAGTCTATGTATGCACATCTTTCTGTATACTTTAAACCATTTCTGGATTCCTTAAAATATCCAATACAATGTAAATGCTATATAAATTGTTTAGGGACTAATGGTCCCCAAGTTTGTACATGTTCAATACAGATAAACTTAAAAAGTTTTGGGCCAGCCAAATTACTCAGAGGATTAAAGCACCTGCAATCAGGTGCAGGGGCCAGGGGTTCGATCCCCAGGCCTGCTGTGCCGGCCCTGCCTCCGAGGCACACTTGAGAGGGCAACTGAGACTGGGCGTGGTGGCACACATGCCTGTAATCCCAGCTCTTGGGAGGCTGTAAACAGGTGATCACTACAAGTCCAATCTAGTAGTGAGACCCTGAACACCCTGTAGACCCTTCCCTAAAATACAAAAAAAAAAGTTTTTAATCTACCTGTTCTTTGAATCCATGGATATAGAATTTGTGGCCATGAATATTTATAACATGGCCTATTTGGCAAACATGAGGTTAATTTAAAAAGGCCAAGGGACAACTATCAAAGAAATGTCTTTTTATAGAAAATAAAATGATACCGTATGTAACTTCTGTAATTTTCAATTTAAGAAAGACATACTATATCCTTTAAGTCTGTAAAGACAAGGAATCAAAGACCTAAGCTCCAAACTGAAAATCACAAGGCAGATGCTACGGATTTCAAGTACTGATCTGAAACACCTCAACGGCAAGTTCATGCAGCATGTTTAATGTTAAGTCATACTAGGAATCCCTATAATGATTAACGGGTTTCTGGGTAAGTTAGCCACAACATTAAAAAATTAGCTCCTAGGCAAAATTGAGAAGTGTTATACAGATTAGAGATAATTTTAAAAAATTCAAACACAGATTATGGCTGTCTTTGTTTTAGGTGTAAAGCGCAGCACACTGTGAGCCGATTCAGCTTGTGCACACACTCGCCGCACTGCGCTGCTGATGGAGAAGCACGTGCGGCTTTTACACTCCAGCCTACAAGGCTGCGGCCGCCCTTCTAAATGGCGCTGATAGTGCTGTCATCATCCCTACTGTCAAACTTCCGTTTCAACTTTCAGCACACTGGCAGTCCTCTAATCCCACACACTGGGATTACAGACATGGGCCACCACACCCTGCAGATACTGGTACAAATGTCCTGAGGCACCTTGTGGAGGCAGTACACTATCACTTCCAGGGAACTAAAATGAAGGACAGCACCAGCCCTCAAGAAGCCCTCATTCATGGAAGAACAAAAATCTTGTGGTGCATGACACTTCCTGAAGAGAGTCTGTCCCAGCCAGCCTTTCGGTGCTGCAGGGTTTATGATTCTAATCATTTGGGAAGATCGTTATTCTGCAATCTACAAAGTACTCACTGAGATACAGTCCTTCTAAGAGAGCAGAGTCACGATGTAGCTCTTAGCCTTTTTTAGTGATAAAAAATTAAATTCCTTTACTTTTTGATGAAGGCCAATCGTTTTGTAAGTAAAAATGAAAAAAGCACGCTAAACCTAGGAAATTTTAGATTCAGTTACCAGCAAGGAAAGAATAGAAATTTAAGATGATTATATTTCGAAGACATCCAGGAACTCAATAATGGCTATGTTCAAACAAATATTTTAAAGTGTCACTTTGGAGTTAAGTCCTATCAAGGTGAGTTTCAAATACAGTAGCCACTGCCATTGATTGGCTCATTATCTAGGGCTCAACTATTAGTCTTGCCTTCTTAAGGCTGCAGTACCTCCTTCTTGCTGCCTGGTTTTGGATCACTGTTTATATTATTTACTAATTTTTACCTGGTTGCAAAAAATCAAGATTGAAAATTACAATGACACTAACGTTGCTTATTAATTATTATTTATATTATCAGGCTTTGGCGGCGAGGGTCAGCTTAATGTCCCAAGGAAGACTGTGGGACCGAGCTGCTAGTCAGTGGCGGAGAACCCAGTGACTGCTGGCTGTGTGCTGCTATCACCTCTCTTAACACCGCGCAGATCCTGGCCGCACGCCTTCACCTGGACAAAGACTAGAAACGTGGCTAGCAGACTACTGAAGCGCATGCTCATCTGACAAGGAATGTAAGGGACGACTGAGCTGAGCTAACTGGTCCCCCGGGAAGACGCTCCCTCAGGCGGCAGGGCTCGTTTCCTCACCGCAGTGCTGCTCACCGTGTTCCTTGTTCTGTAAACGGCGTCGGTCCACAAATGCAGAGGAGGACTCTGGAATTTTTTAAACTTCGCTTCAAAAATTCAGAAAGAAGAGCTGGTGAAATCTGTCCCTGTTTGCCATTCCATTCAGATGTTGGTGCTGAGAGAATATATTCAACATCAAATCTAGGCAAAGAAAGTTTTATAAAGTCTATTACTTTACACACATTATTAGCAAGTTTCAAATTCAATTAAACACCTCCCCTAAACAGAACAATTTAATATATCCAGACTGATACACCTGCCAGAAAAATCCCTGGCATACAGATAAACAGATACTTACTAAGGATTAGCTTTTGCTATAGACAAGAAAGTAATTAAGCATTTTTGTCAGAACTCATTGAAAGAGAATCCCAAGGGATTTCAGAGAACTCTACACTTACAATAATCTGCTCACAGTAAAGAGCAATGTTCAGTGACATGTACTTTAATCTCTGGCTCAAACGTCTCCAGTAATTTCCAAGCCCTTACAACCAGGGTGAATGAGAAGCCTAGCTGACTCCTGGCTCTTGCTATCTCCCAGACTAACCAAACCAAAGCTTCAACCTGCTTGCTCCTGCTCCCTGCATGCTGCCAACTCTGTGAACAGCAACACAGTCCACCTGACCGCACGAGCCAGCACCGAGCTGTGCCCTGGAATCTTCCGCGCCCTCGCCACCCACATCTAAGGCACTCCCAAGGCCTGGCACCTAACTCTTTGCTTCTGTCCACTTTCACTGCAGTCGCACGCCCATCCTTGGTCCTCTTTCTGTAATGCTTTTACTACCCCCACTCACCAGATCTTAGTTCAAGCACCACATCCACAGGAGGCACTGCAGCCCCACCTCTCTAGGGTCCTCAACGCCCCTTTTCTTCAAAGCCCTAACTTCAGGTTGCAAGCATGTAGTTCTATGATGATTATGTTGTCTACTTTCCTTATCAGATTACAAACTCCAAGAGAACAGGAATCACGTCTGTTTTGGCTATCACTGTGTACCTAGTGGTCAATACACAGGAACACTCAAATGCTATGAATAAAATAAAGAAGATATATGGAATTAACATGGAAGGAACATCAATCTAAAGCTTATGGTGTAATTATACACTATATATAGGCTTAGTAAACTATTAAGTAAAGCTGAAATACTGTAATAAAAAGTCTATCTATTCTATTTGCTCCATCATAGCAAACATAACTGTTACTATATTCAATAGCATCAAATCAAATGCACTTCTGCACGTTTTAGTCAGTAACTGAGATTTCCCAAAAAGCAGCACTGTAGATATCGGTTATCGATTAACTTAAAGCTTAAGGAAGAGTTGAGGTGAACAGCTTCTTGTCTGGGAGGGAACCACAAAAGAACAGAACAAAAGCGTGCCTGGCACAGCTGCCCTCCTACCACTGCGCCTCAGCTGGGTTATGGTTCCACGGAGCCCAGCCTGGGGACTTGCCCAGAAGGAGCAGCAACTGTCTCCATTTTGGTGGAACTTGACCCTTGTCCATGTACTGATGTGTACAGAGCCGGCTACCCCTTCACTTGGCTTTAAGCAATGCACATAGGTCCAGCCTGAAGAAGGCAGGCATGTTTCCCCAGACCTGCATAGTTCCCTGAGTGAGCTGGAACAAGGCAGGATGAAGAGCGAGTGCTTCACACAGTCTGCTGAGATCGAGCCTCAAGATAGAGGTGATGACTTCCTGGGGCTTGAAAGACTACACATCAAAGATAGAGCACTGAATCCCAAAACATTAGACACTACCTCAATTGTGTAATGCAAGTCACTCTTTCTGCA